CTGTGTGAACAACCTCATGCTCTACCAGAGTGAGTGCATAGAGTACGTAGTCCATGCAACTGAAGTAAATAAATGAAAAAACATGCATGACTGCATGGTGGTCACGTTAGGAATAATCATAGCTGTCCACTTATGGAGTGATTATTTTAGCTGGGCATTACTCAGTACACTTGAAATCCGGTGCCCCAATAAAGTAATTACTGATTGCACCCTTATTTTATATATATATATTTTTCAGTACTGCAGATTAAACCCAGGGCCTTTGCACCGAACTATATCCCCAGACTCCTCCCCTGTTTAAAATTTTGAAAGTTTTGCTGATTTGCTAAGCTGCCCAGTCTGGGCTTGAACTTGCGAGTCTCCTACCTCAGCTGTGCACCTCTTACTGCTGGCTTGCACCCCCATTTTACAGTCTAGGAAACGGAAGCCCAGCAGGGCGAGGTCACTTGCCCAGTGCTGTGTCACGGTGAGTGATGGAGCCGTGATTTGCAAACCGGCAAGCTGCACTCCACCCGGCCCACACGAGAAGACAGGCGCGATTTCCTGTGAGGCCTGGGCAGGTCCCATACCTCTCTAGGTCTCGGTTCCCGTATCCCCTCGGCAGTCACGGGCCCTGGCCCCAGACCTGCAGCCAACAGACCCCAGAAGAGGGCTGGGCGAGGCCAGCCGCTGTGGTGACCAGACCGCCAGGGATGCAGTGAGCGATTAGGAACTTCCTCTTGGAAGCCCTGCTTCCTCCGGGAGCCAGAGGTGCTGGGGGCGGGGAGCCGGTGGGTGGGAGCGGGAGGAGGAGCCGAAGTCAGCGGGCCAGCTTGTGGCCGAGTTCAGCTCAGCAGAGCTGCTGACCATCCGTGCAGCCCCGCGCACACCCTCCCCCGCAAGCTCGAGCGATAGGAAAGGGGCCTCTAATTGAGTGTCCTGCAAGACCTGAAGCCTTGGACAGAGGAGGGTTAAGTGGAAACTACTTTTTTCTCTACGTTTGATAACAAAAACTACTTATCTAATGGGCAAACAGGACTTTAAAAGGGGTGTTAGGTTAACCAGACACAGGGCCAGGTAATTAGTCCCAGGCCTGGGAGCCACAGATGAAAAGCTGCTGGTTGGATGGGAACTTGAAGCCACAGGCATGACCGGACAGAAGAAAGGACTTTTCCAGGAGGGTTGGAGGCCCTGTGCCGCGCTATGCACGGGAAGGAGCAAGCCCCAGCCAACCCCTCTGGCTCTGCCAGCCGACTTGCTGGGCCACGTGGAGCAAGTCACTTAACCTCTCTGGTCTTTTGAGCACCCAAGCCTTGCTTCTTGGTGCTCTCTAGGAGTTGGGCTGGCTGGGGACCCTTGTTTCAGTCTCACCGATGTGGGGTCCTTTCGGGGGATGGTTGAGCCCAGGGTCCCTTGGTGGAGGTCAAAGAACAGCGCAGGAAACAAACACCGCAGCAGCCACAGCCCATGGGCACAGGGACCAGGGACACTCCTGCCCTTTGTTTTCACAGAAAACTGCTGATTCCAAGAAAACAACGGCTTTGCCCAGGACTTCACCTCTCCCTGGTGGGGACTGCAGGCGCCCCCACGGTGCCAGCGACCCCTGTAGATTCACACAGCAGGCTCTGGGCTCCCTGGCTGGGTGGGCGAGGGCAGCGCCCGGCGGGCTATGCCTGGGCAGCCTGTTGTCGCTGCCACTGCTCCTCCAGCCTGAGCCGTGTTCGCTGCCCTCTGGTGGCAGGAATGCGGGCGTCACTGGGAGGGCCACTGCCGCGGGCGCTGTTGAGGCCCAACAGGATAGAGTCTGCAAGCTGACCCACACGTGCCTCAGGGCCACTTTGTCCTTTTTAACTTTTTCAAAGCTATCCTGCCTACAATGCAAGGCTCAGCTCCGAGTTTGGAACCTGACTGATTTTTGAGATAGGATCTGACTGTGTAACCCAGTCTGGCCTTGAACTCCCAGGGATCCTCTCGCCTCAGTCTCCTGAGCTCCCATGGTTGCAGTCAAGATACCAAGGCATTGCCCTTACCCCAGGAATTCCCTTGTGCCCCTTTCCAGGCCTTTCACCCACAGGCCTGCTCGCAACTGATTTTTCCCCCCTTTTTTTCCATGCTGCTTGTGACAAGCCCTTGAACACACAGAGCGCATCAGGACGGACTGCTTTGCCTGCCTGAGAATTGCATTTCAGTGGCAACAGCATGTCCTGTGGGTGTGGCTCCTTTTGCTCAGCAGGCTGTGCCTAAGATTCATCTGTGATGTCACCCGTTTTGGTCATTTGTTCTTGTCTCTGCTGAGTGGTGTCCGTGTGTCAATGGGCCTAGTTTTTATTTATGCTTTCTGTTACTGGGCTCCAACTCAGGGGTGCTCCACTGCTGAGCAAAACTCTAGGTATTTTCTGTTTCTTGTTTTTGAGACCAGTCTAAATTGCCCAGTTTGGACTGGAAGTTGAGGTCCTCCTGCCTCAGCATCTAGGGTAGCTGAGGTTACAGATGCATGCCACCACTCCTGGGTCCATCCTCCTGTCCAGTGACATCTGCGCTGCTTTGCAGACAGGTGTCATGACTAGAGCTGCTGGGAACATTCGTCAAAACACAGACACTTAGAACTGAAATTTAAAGTACTGGCTTCATCGTGCAGACGGGAAGACTAAGGCCAGAGAAAGTGGTGACCTGCCGGGTCAGGGCCAAAGGACAGGACTGGGAAGCAGGCTGGGCTGAGCAGGGGGCAGCACTCGGTCAGCTTTGATGTTACGCAGTCTCATCTGACTTCTGTGGGTTTACTTGGGATTGAAGAGCTGCTTCCTAATTAGGCTGACGATGGTGGGAGGTGGTGGGACTGCAGACTGGACTCCAAGAAGGGAAAGACCCTATTGCACACAGCTGTCCCTTTGCCCTTGGAGTGGTGACCAGGGCTGTGGGTGCAGAGCTGGTGGGGGACCTCGGGCTGGGAGCACGGCCTCCCATGTGGCAGTTTGTGGGAACATACCATGTGACATCCCAGGACCCACGTGGGTGCAGGTGTGGGGACAGAGTCATTTGTCCCTTCTTTAGCTCCTCCCATGAACACCTATGTCTCTACAGTGCCAGACGAGGGACTTGGAGGTGACCACAGTGACCCTGAGGCTCCCTGGCCCTCCAAGGGGAGAAGGAAGAGGGCAGGGACCCATGAACAATTGATTTGCTCCCGAAGTTTCCAGAAAGTCCCCAGAGAGCTCGGGTGAGCGAGGCACTTGGTGACACAGCTGTCCCTTTCACTAATAGGGAACAGAGGCTTGGGCGCAGCCAGCAGTCCATTCGGGCTGCACCTATGGTCAGGGTTGGCCTCCCTCTGTTTCCTCTGAGACATCAGGCTCATCTGAGAGCCTCAAGTTCTAGTCTCCACTCTGTCAGCCTCTGCAACGTGCCCCCAGGCAAGGCACCCTGCAGCTCCTGAGGAGCCAGCTTCCAGACCCAGGGTCCTGGCACTCCACTGGTAGTTTTCTGTGGCTCAGGATGAAAGAAATGAAAGCAAGGTGGAAAGTAAGCAGCGACAGTGCCTGGTCACCCCAGTCCCTGACAGAGACGCTGTGCTGGGTGGTGGATGTAGAAGGGCAGGGTCCCATGGAGGAGAAGGTGTCAAGATGATGTCACAGGCTCTTTGAGGGTCTTGCAGAGACCTGCACCTGTGCCCGCAGGCCTGAGGCCACCCGGCCCACTGCTGGGCAGGGTTGCCTGAGTGGGGACCACAGGGACCACTTTGGGCGAGTTTTATTTCCTCTCTGTGCCTCCCCAGGAGAGCACAGAACAGCTGGGGTCGCTGCCATCAACATGAACCCCTGCTGGGCAGAGGGAGGCCTGAGGGGCTTTCCTGGGATGCAGCCTGTTGCCTGGAACTCGGGAGACTTGGCCAGGGGGCTCAGGCCAATGAGGTTACCAGGCTGTGTCCTCAGAGGGTTTGCAGGGGCTGGTATACACCTGTGTCCCAGCACTCAGGAGGCTGAGTCAGGAGGATCACCAAGAGCTCCAGGCCAGGCTGCACTACATAGTGAGCTCGAGGCCAGCCAGGATAACATAGGTTCAGGAAAAAAAAAGTCTCCATCCTTACAAGAGGTCCTGGGCCAGGCTGGGCTTGGGTCTCATGGAAAGGGAGAGTCAGGGTGTTTGCACTGGTGGGGCCCTCGGAAGCCCTGATGGGGGTGGCCTACCCTGTACCCTTCTCCTGGGACCCCTGCACACTCTGACCTTCATGGCTTCTACTGGCTGACAACCCTCGCAAAGCCCAAGGAGACTTGGACATAGTGACCCCTCTCCCAGGGGACTACAAAAAGAGCCCACAGATGGGGACAGCCAGCTCCTCCCTGACTCACAGACCAGGGTAGTAGCCCTGGTGACAGATAGGGACACTGAGGTCAGTCAGTGGAGGGGCTTTCCTAGTGCACAGCTGTGGAGAGGGGCATAGTCTGGGCCTGTTTCCTCTCCTGTGAAATGGGCAAAGAAGGTTCCTGGCTCAGGGATGCCTGTCACCATCTTGGCCCTGGTGGGCTCTGGGCAGGGCTTGCGGGCCTGTCACACTGACTTGGGCACACCGAGGGGATTCTTGGGAGTTGTGGTCAGGCAGGTGTGGCACTGCTGTGTGCCTCAGGAGTCCAGGCTACAGAGTGTGGTGGGTCCTGCTAACCACTGTGTGGGATAGGCCTGGTGCTCGCAGCCTGGTCATGTCTTATGGGCTTGTGCTGTCTCCATACCCCCAGCTAAGGGGTGCCAGGGTGGTTGGGGACAGGGGCCATTGGCCAGAACCAAGAAGAGCCTCATAGGCAGAGGGATGGGGTGACAGCAGGTGCAGGTGCCTGGTGGCCACAGGCTCCCCGGGGTGTGTGCGAACATGACACTCCCACAGGCAGCAGCTGGGTGTGGGTGGCAGCTGCCCCTGACTTTGCATGTGTGAAGGAGGCCAGGTTGCCCAGTAGGTGCCCCTGAGCCTTCCCGAGCCCCGACCTGCAGCGAGCCCTGCCCGGTAACCGGTGCCCTGTGCTTGCCCACAGACGCCAGCATGTCTCCGGACGCCACCAAGCCGAGCCACTGGTGCAGCGTGGCGTACTGGGAGCACCGGACGCGCGTGGGCCGCCTCTACGCGGTGTCGGAGCAGGCCGTGAGCATCTTCTACGACCTACCTCAGGGCAGCGGCTTCTGCCTGGGCCAGCTCCACCTGGAGCCGCGCAGCGAGTCTGTGCGCCGCACACGCAGCAAGATCGGCTTCGGCATCGTGCTCAGCAGGGAGCCCGACGGCGTGTGGGCCTACAACCGCGGCGAGCACCCCATCTTCGTCAACTCCCCCACGCTGGACGCACCCGCGGGCAGCTGCGGTGGCGGTGGCGGTGGCGGCCGCGCCCTGGTCGTGCGCAAAGTGCCGCCGGGCTACTCCATCAAGGCCTTCGACTTCGGGCGCTCGGACCTGCTGCAGCATGCGGCTGAGCCCGACGCCGCCGACGGCCCCTACGACCCCAACAGCGTGCGCATCAGCTTCGCCAAGGGCTGGGGCCCCAGCTACTCGCGGCAGTTCATCACCTCCTGCCCCTGCTGGCTTGAGATCCTGCTCAACCACCCCAGATAGCGCCTGGCTCCCTGGCCCGGGCGCACCCCCAGATAGCATCTACCTAGATTTAATATAAAGTTTTATATATTATATGGAAATATATATTATACTTGTAATTATGGAGTCATTTTTACAATGTAATTATTTATGTATGGTGCAATGTGTGTATATGGATGACGCAAGAGAGACGCACTTTGGCTTATAATTCTTTCAATACAGATATATTTTCTTTCTTTTTCTCTTCCCTCCTCTTTTTTGTTTTGTTTTGTTTTTCAGAAAATGATACAACAGAACTAGGTGGAAAAGCCTGGGTTTGGTATATGGTTTTTGAACTATTAATGCCCAGACAAAAAAGCTAATAACAGTCACTCGTTGATAATAAAATATTCGCATTATAGTTTGTTTTTTTTTTTTAACTGTCTTCTTTGTATAAAGAGGGACATTCAGTGTGCCTATGGGTTTTACAACCCATGAGACACCCTGAAACGTGACTTGTGTGGTTCCTAAATAGAATAGAGGGAGTTTGCAGGCGTGGTGGTGCAAGGCTGTAAACCCAGCTCTGTGAGCCTGAGGAAGGGCTCGAGAGATGCGCCTGCCTCGGCCTCCTGAGTAGCTGGCGGCCTCCTGAGTAGCGAGCGTTATAGGGACGCCCTGCAGGCGGGCACTTCCGCTGTGTTCTAGTGATTGACACTAAGGCCAGCCTATGGCAGCGTGCGGAGATGGCACAGGCGTGAATGGCAGGGGCCAGAGGCAGGGCCATCACAGCCCCCCAGAAGTACGGCGCCGGGCGTTGTTCCCAAAGTCACAGACCACCCTGCTCTGCTCCAGGAGCCTTGGTGGGGACTCGGGGTGCCTACAGGGGCCACCCTAGGGTGCTCTGCGAGACGGCCCTGCCAGATGCCTCCCTACAGAAGCTCGCCCTTGATGTGGGTCAGGGCAGGCAGAGGTGACAGAGCGCAGGAAGCAGGGAGCATCTTTCAGACATGTAAGCTCCGGAGAGAAGCCACGGGGGTGAAGGGCCCAGTGCCTCAGCTCACAGGGTGACCTGTAATGTGCCATCGTGGCACATCAGTAGGACAGGAATGAGGTGGCTTCTGCCTCAGAAGCAGGGACTGTGCAGGTGGCCCAGGGCTGGGGACACCCACACCATCCCTCAGAATAGAGCTGATTTCCAGAGGGTATGGGCAAGGTGGGTCCTTCTGGCCTTTGCACTGAGCTGCAGCCCCAGCCCTTTTTAAAAATTGTTTTAAGGGCTGGAGAGATGGCTCAGTGGTCTAAAGCACCTACTTGAAACAAGCTTGGCAAAGCACAGGGACCGCGGTTGGATCCCCCAGCACCACATGCCAGTCAGCCCCACCCCCTGGTGGGCTGAGCTGGCCACACACACAATAAATAAATGTAATAAATAAAAAACAAAAAAAAATAAAATAAAATAAATAAAAATTGTTTTAAAATCATGCAACATGGTGTTGCAAAGTCTCCAAGTTGCCCAGGCTGGGTGGGAACTTGAGATCCTCCTGTCTCAGCCTCCCAGAGTCCTCAGTGTGCACGGCCACACCTGGCTGTGCTTTCCAGGCCTGGTGAGGCATCCAAGAGAGAGGGCCAGGCTGTGGGCAGTGCCCTTAGGGGGTGCTATGAGTCACCCCCAATGCCTCAGAATGGATATAAGGACCATAGTCCTTGTCACTCTGGCAGTGGTACCAGGTGGCCTCCAGAAGCAGGGACCTACTGTCCATGCATGGTCCCTCCCTCAGGGTTCTTCAAGTCCAGTCCCAGTCCTGGGTCCCAGGAGCCAGCTGAGTTTCAAAGTCACCAGGGGGCAGGAGCTACCGCCCCAAGCAGTGCTGCGTGGTTGCTCTGCGGTTTCCTGGGCCTGCTGGTGACTCAGATTTTGTGGAGACACTTTCTAAATAAGGCCCTGTCCCTGGGGACCTGAGCTCAGGCGCCGCAGTGCCCCAGGGGAATCCTTTGGGGATCTGGAGGAGGTTAATGTCTCTATTGCCTCTCCAGTCACCCCCTTCTCCACACTTTGCCTGCCTGCTCTCTGCGGGTGTCTGTGGGGCCGGGTGGGGCAGACAGACTGGGAGAGAAGGATCCTGGGAGATTTTGTGTTCCTGTCCATGAACCAACTTGAGGCCCAGAGAGGGAGTGTGAGTGGCCTGAGGCCACGGAGCCTCAGGTGGCCAGGGTAGGTCGCTGGGCACTTCCTGAGCTCGGAGCCCACACAGTGCAGGGAGCCCCGCTGACCTGTTCTAGTCTGCACCCTGTCACTTCGCAGCTGTACGACCTTGGGTAAATTACTTGTGGTCCCTGTACCTTCTCCGTAAGAGAGAATGAGGAGCTGAGTTATGCACCTGCTGGCGATGTGGCCCCCGAGTTCCTGCCGGCTGGCTTGGAGTTGCTGAGTATTAAATGAGGCCTTAACTTCAGATCCAGAAACTTTCTGGTGTCTGTGCACTCAGCCTGCCTTGTGAACCCATTTCCTTAGCTGGTAAGTAGAGGCAGTGACCTTTGCGATACCTCTGTTCCAGGACACCAGGACCCCTCACAGATGGCTCCTGCCTCTCCTACAATTTGTTCTCCATGAAGAGTGACCATCCCTTCCCCCACCAAGCTGGGGTGACCCCTTAAGCTTCTACCCAGGACCCCCACAGGACCCCTCTGCCTCTCTGCTTGGCCATTGCTGTGCCCTTCTGCGTGACATTCCTTCTCTAGCCATCCCACCCCAGCTCTGACCTCGCACGACCCCTCCTTTTCCTCTCAGGCACAGAGCGGGGCTCCCGGATGTTTGTGAAACGGAGCAGTCCAGGAGTTGTGGGTGTGGGTGTCATGTAAACTCCAGAATGGAAGGGAGGGATGAGGGGTATTTATTGCTGTCCTGCATCTCCATGACAACTTGCAGCTGGCATCTCTGCGTCCCTAAGAATGCTTAGCCCTCCCCTGATTCCAGGGCTTTAGCCGTGAGACTCCCAGGATTCCATGGGACAGGGATGGCCCTTGGATGACTTAGAGAGACCTAGGGGACTCCGTCACCTCTCATGGAATGGAGCTCCACAGATGGCAGTGCGCTTGCTAGTGTCACCCTGCAAGGAAGTGGCAACCGGAGGCCATAGTTGTGACATGGTATTGCCTCAGAACCAGCCCTGAGCACAGCCCCAGAGGATTTGGCAAGAAAGGGACAGGCAGGGAGGTAGGAAGCCAGGCTATGGGGCTGCACCTTGGTAGAATATGTCTAGGGTAAAGTTCACCATTGTAATTTTCTAATAAAATATATTAGTTCATTTAGGTGTTTTTAAACTGGATGTGGTGTTTTTAAAACAGATGTGGGATTACACAACTATAATCCCAACACTTGGGAGGCCAAGGCAAGAGAATCCCTATGAGTTTGAAGCCAGCCTGGGCCACATAGTGAGACCCTCTCTCAATATAGTAGATAAGGCTGGGGACATAGCTCAACAGCATAAGCATCTGCCTGGCAAACACAAAGTCCTGAGTTCAACCTCTGGTACCCCCCCAAAATTAGTAGATACATAGATGCATAGAGTTCTAGTTTATATTTAGATGTCCCTCTCGATGTCTTAGGTACTCCTAGGTGGGGCTTTTGGGAGCGTCTGAATCAAGCGTGTGTGATACCCTTGGGTGTGGGCAGCAGCAGCAGCCAATAGGCCTCCTGCCTGGGTGGGATAAAAAGGGAAAGAAGGAAGTCTTGCTTCCTGCCTGCTGTGCCACGGGCTGTTTCTCCTTTGTGATACTCCTCTGCCCTTCTGTGCTGCGTAGAGCCAATGGCCTATGGACTGAAACCTCTGCAACCTGTGGG